GTGAAGGGGCAGGCAGCCATGGTCCTGGCCACAAGGAGGAGATAAAGGGCAAGAGGCAAGCTTTCCTCAGAGCTGGTCTCTTCAGAGTTTTATAGCTGACAATTCTGAATCCAGAGAGCAATGACTGAACGCCCTGAAAAGTGACAGGGGAGGACACCAAAGCTTGAAAAATGACCCTGGGGTGTGTGGCGGATGTTCCTGGTCTTTTTTTCTCTCCTAAATTTGACCCGAGGGAGGCCCCATCTCTGGACCCACACAGCAGGCCTCAGGGCAAGGACTCCAAGAGAGGAGGGTGGGGACCCTGTTATTCTCTCTTTCCTCTCACGCTTGTCCCTGCAAGTGGCCCAAGTTGGGTGGACGTGTGAGACAGTGTCGCAGGTGACCAAAACTCTGAGAGAACCCATCTTTCTGGACAGAGGAACCAAGCAAAGGGGCCCCGGGAGATGAAAAGTGTGGGGTAAATCCCTAACAGACTGGGGGTGTGGAGCCCTCAATTTCCCCTAAGTACTAACACAGCCCCAGCTCATCCTCCAGCTTCATATGTCTGGAACAGACCAGAGCAGCCAGCAAAGGCTTTGCAAGCAGAACTCTGCCATTAACTGCTGGCCCAGTCCCAGGCTGACCCAGTGCAGCCAAGCAAAGGCTCTGAAGTCTGGAAAGAAAGTGGGACCACTGCTGGATGCTAGTGGTCGGAATCTAACGGGGTGGCTTGCCTAGTAAAAATATTTACAACTAAAATTGTTTAAATTAATCAATTAAAACTAAATATTACGTTTTAATAGTTATGTGCCATATGTTTAATAGTTTGAATGTTATGTTTAAAAAACAAAATTGTTTATAATTAACATAATTATAAATTAAATTTGTAAATACAACTAATCAATAAAAAATTAATAAAGTAACGAATTATTGATAAAATGATTATTAATAAATAAAAAATTGACTATTCATTATCACTAATCACCAAATATTCAGCGCTAATTATTAAATTATTTATTACTAACTGATTATCAATAATGGATAACTTAAAAATTATTTAATAATTTTATTTATTAGATAAATTAGTAAGTAAAAATTTGCCAGAGGCACTTAACAGGGCCCAGAGTCTCATAATATCCAAAATATTGGTTGAGGATTCTATCTGAAATTACTCCACATACAAAGAACCAAGAAAATGTAATCGAGTTTCAAGGGAAAAGACAAGCAACAGATTCCAGCCCCAAGCTGATCCAGACATTTGAATTCTCTCTTTCATGACCAGAGGCACATACAGCACCTACCTACATTTCCCAGCTCTCAGGTTTCCTGGGAAGCTGCTTTCCCACCGACAGTGCATGCTGACCTGTGTAACTCTCTGAAACCAAAGAGATGGTGCGCGCTGCAGATCACTGTTTTTATAGTGTATTGTACTTGGTGGTGCAGCCCGGAGCTGCGACTGTGCAAAACGTTTCTCTCTTTTGGCTTAGACCTTGTAAGTGTATTTCTGGGTTCCTTTGCATTATTTGGGGCCCTGGTGGGGCAGTGGTTAAGAGTTTGGCTGCTAACCAAAAGGTTGGCAGTTCAAATCCACCAGCCGCTCCTTGGAAACCCTGTGGGGCAGTTCTACTCTGTCCTAAAGGGTCACTATGAGTTGGAAGAGACTCGACAGCAAGAGTATTTTTTTTTTTTTTAGTTTTGCATTATTTGGAAGTTGCATTTCTCGAGATGATGCCATGTTCACACAAATACCACGTTTTCAGGCACCACACATTGTATGTACCTGTCAAGGGATCTAGAAGGTGAAAGACAGTACAGGGGAAATATGCGTCCCACAGAATCCTATCCCAGAGTGCAGAGTGACAAGTGTGTCCCACAGAATCCTACCCCAAGAGTCCACAGGGACAGGTGTGTCCCACATAATCCTGAGTCCAGAGGGATATATGTTCCCTACATAACATATATCAAAATCCGTATTTCATAATAACATTTCAGAAATGCTTCTTGATTCAGCATGCCTTCCATTAATGAAAACACATATCAACAAAAAATTCAAAGCAGAAAATAACTGGGTCATGAAAGGGTTATGTGACGAAGCCTGTAAAGCAACTGATAGAACCATGTTCCATAAGCCAAAAGCAAATACTCTTGAAATGAACGGACAACTACAAGTCCTCAGCAGAGAAACAAAAATGACAGGAAGGAACTAAGTGGAAATTTTTAGAACTTAAATTCACAATAGATGAATCAAAAAAATTCCTGGATAGGCTCAGTCGCAGAATGGAGTTGACGGAGAGGGAATCAGTGAACTTGATCAATCACTAGAAGTTATGAAATCTGGAGAGAGAAAAAGAAGTATGAAAGAAGACGGAAGAAACCTCAGGGACACCTGGAACAATAACATTCATGCCATTGGAGTCTCAGAAGGAGACAGAAATTGGTGCAGAAAAAATATTTGAAGAAACAATGCCAAAATACTTCCCAAATTTGGTGAAAGACAGAAACACACAGATTGAAGTAGCTCAGGAAACCCCGAACAGGGCCTGCACATCCAGGCTGTGGTGGGCCTGAAGAATGAGCAGAAAGTTCTGGTACAGTGCTCCCCGGGGGCCTGTCATCAGCATCCCACAAGGGTCCTGCCAGCACCCTGTAAATGGCCCCTCCCACAGCACCTTAGAAAGGGGGCGGGGCGGGGAAGTGGGGGGAAAACCAGCACAAACACAAGTACAAATTCAAAAATCTTAATTTATTGTAGACTCTTTTCTCATTTGTGCCGTAATTCCAGTGTTTTGAACATTAATAAATATACATTTGTTAAAACGAAAAACAAAACCTCCAGTGTCTCTCTCATAAAGTTTTAAGTCATAAAAATAGGTTTAAATTTTTTCTCTCTTAACAAGACCGACAGTTGTTTTTTGGTAATGGTTCCGATCCAGTGAAGCGCTAACATGGGGCAGAGTCCAGTTCATACCAAAGTGGAGTGTTCAAAGACCCAAAAGTAGGAAAACCCTCTTTTCACTTAGAAAACGCCTCGGTGGTGTTAACATTGACAGAGACCACGCACCCAGGAAGGCACATTTGTAATTCACTCAGGCACAAGGACCTCGGGATGGGTTTCACTTCGTGTTGAGTGTTAAGTTAGGCCGCGTTCTGATACGCTTTTCCTCTCCTGCAATCATTCGGCAACAATGTTTGCATTTTCATCTGAATAAAACATGAAATGTACACGTGTTTGCATCAGCTGTGCTGACTGTTTATTCGGACACCTCATTTGAGGAGCAAAGGCAACACTGAAATAGAATGTGTCTGAACGACTCTGGGCCCCATGCCACAGCCCGCAGGCCACGCCGTGCTGGTGCCCACGGTGGGACAGTCCCAGCTGGTCCTCGGTGTGAATTTCCAAGGCAGTGTGGTAACCATTGAAAAGCGTGGCTCTGGTTTTGTCCCGCTGCACAATTGGCCATTTGAAGTAAAACGAAGTAACTGGCCAGACCCTGCGGATGGGACTTAAGCCCGCCTGGAGATCCTTGGCGTCTAGGAGAGCTGGGAAGTTGGCAGGAAGAACTGTGACACCTGGGGAGACCCAGGCGTCTGTCAGAGTCAGGAACACATGAACGAGAGCAGAAGGACAAAGGAATTGACTGGGCAGGGCCCCAGGGAGGCCTGAGGGCGGACCAGCAAAGGGCAAGTCACACCGGTGTGTGAATCATGGCCTTGCCCTAAGCCCCGGGTTGTCCCTCCACAGCCCTCAGGCAGCTGGGAGCCAGGAGCAAACACACTGACAAACTCGCCTTGAGCGCAGGAGGCTGCCCTGAATGCCCGCGGTTCCTCAGCTGCTTGCTGACGTCATAGCAGGGACTTCCGTCTGACGACTCCTGATGCACCTCACGCTGCTGATTTGCTGGCATGCTCGCCGCTACATCCGTGCGTGCCCGACGCCAGGACGACTGTGCAATCTTTCTTACATGAAAAAGAGTGAGGATCGACCCACAACCTCTCAGTACAGACGTAAAACATACAGTCTTCACAGTCCCAGCATCCCGTACAAATCTGTGAGCATCTGCGCCCGCTCATCACAGCAGAGCTGTTCAGGACACGTGGTGCCTTTGCAGAGGGCTGCTGAGGCTGCTGCCGTGGGCCTGACGCCCACACGGGTGGATGGCCTCTGGTCCTCGGTCTGCCCTGCACCCCCGAACGCTGGCGGGCGTCGGCCTGGCCTGCTGGCGCCCCTGCTGTGAGCTTCTGGATGGGCCAGCGGCACAACGGTGGCTCTGTTGCGTCTGAGGACACGTCTCCCTCGAGCCTGTGGCCTTTGGCACTTGTCACGGGGTCTGATGGGCCCAAGCCCCAGGGGTGGAGGAGGGTCCTGGCGCTGCCACTATGGGGGGGCCCACACACAGGGCCTGCCTCACTCGAAGGACAGTGCCCCCTGGGCTCCGAGGTCGAAGGTGTGCTGCACAGAGACCCGTGTGGAGTGACGGACGCGCCTCATGGTTTCCTGATGGTTCAAATTGAAGTTTCATTACTGCCTCTGTTCATGGGAAGAAGCCGGGAGGGTCAGTCAGGAGCCGTGCTGGGGGAGGAGGGGGACAGCCAGGCTCCATGGAGGGCAGGGGTGGGCGAGCACCTGACTACTGACACCTGGTATGCTGGAGGGCTGGGCTGACGCGGTCCCCCAACGTCAGCCCCAGCGCGCAAGAAGCATCAAGGCTGGAAACAAAACATCCTCATATTGGCCCTTGGAGGCGGTTCCGAAGGCCTGGCCTGTTCGCTCCCAGGGACGTGAGCCAGGAGGGGCGTGGGGAGAGGACACCCCTACAGCTGGGTCTCAGGGGGACTCCAGAGGTCTGGCTATGCCAGCCCCCACGGGGCCTGACAGTGATTTCGTTCCCACCTGACCTGAGCTGAATCCCCTCCGCCACCACCCCCTCCCCTAGCCAGGGAAGGAGAGGGGACACCTGGGCTCCACAGAGGCCAGCAAGACCACAGACACCCAGCACATGGGGGGGTCACTCGAGGGTCACTCACTCCGAGTCGGCACCATTGGCCTGGGCGCTTCCCGCCCGCACGTGCATGGCCACCCCGTTGAGGTGCTCTCGCGCCGGCTCCCGGGGCGGTGGGCTCTTGACCGTGACGCTGCAGTCCACGGGGGCGCGTGACCCCCCGTCACCGGAGGCCAGGGAGGACGTCCGCGAGGAGCCGGCGCTCTGGTCCCCGTCGGCCAGCTTCTCTCGCAGTCGGGTTTTCAGGGTCTTCTCGGTCAGCGGGGGTGGGTAGGTGACCTTGTTTTTCAAGATGCCTGGGCCGAGGAGATAGGCGGTCACTTCCAGGAATGGTGGGGCCAGCTCGGAGATGGATCGGCCCCTGCAGGTCTGAGCCAGGCTTCGGCCGCTGTTGGTCCCCCACTCTGCACCGTGGTTCTCCAGGGACTGCACCCAGCCCCCAGGTCCCCACCCTCGGGACGAGGGACCGCCCCCGGGGCCCCCAGCCCTAAGGACGAGGGACCGCCCCCGGGGGCCCCAGCCCTAAGGACGAGGGACCGCCCCCGGGGCCC